TACTGCATTCTTCTCTTTATATAATGAATTTTTCTACTTATTTATCTCTCAGTGGTCTGCAGGAAGAAATTCCATTGTGAATATGAAGCAATTATTTTGAAAATAACTTAGTTATTTATCTGTGTGTGGCAAGTGGGAGTGTCAGACTCTTACTGGCTAAGAACCACACCGTACCGTGCCCTGCTTCCAGGTCGGGACCGCGGAACATTTTGCACTTACAACCACAACGAACATCTGCTTATCTTATGTAAAAACTTTACCTACTTCGTATTGCCACTAGGTACCCATTTATACAAAAATATGTGTGAACTATGTAGGTATATAAACATAAATATTGCGAACTTCCGTTGATTACATTATTCATTACTGTTATATGTATTACGTCATATAAATGATGTGGGAGTTTTTTTCAAAAGTGCTCATATGGTATTTGCTTAAAGAGCATCCAACAAATAGGTACACGCTAAATGTCATTCTATTTCGTAGTGGTACAGTTGGTTTTCAAGTGCGTGTGGTTAGTAAGCGATGCGTCAATGGGTGCTTAAAAATTTGTATAAGTGGTTAAAGAGCGAAAGTATATAACAGTATAAATTACTTTATTATACTATGTTGAGTGGTTCTAAATTGATGTTATAGGTTTGATACTGGGTTAAGTAATCACTATATGTTCAACTTTATATATACATTTTTAAAACCCTCGTTTCTGTTAGGAAAAAATATGGATTACTGAAATAAATTAAAGTTTGTGCAAAACTATTAGAAATTTACAATACATACATACATACATAAAACAGTGCTCTGGGTTAAAGAATAAATAAGTAATATACATGGATTTAAAATAAACAGTTATTTACGTGAATTAACTTCAAAAAGCTCGACCGTCGGCTATGCGATGTAGCCGCGATGCGCACGCTTCTAAAGAATAAGAGCCCGTCGCAACTTGAAACTAGTAGACCTTAGCTCGTTAATTCACGAGAGAAAGTTTTTTTTTTAATATTTTCTAAATCTGTTTTGTTGTTTCAATAAAAAAATGATATATAAGTTATACAGGTATTTGAATCTTTTAAGGCGAACCAAAGGCCTGCCTACTGCCTCCCCCCTCAAATCCCTTAATAACCCACAAGAGGCCAGCAATGCACTGGTAGTAACTTCTTTGGTATAATGAGTGTCCGATAGCTTAACATCAGGTAATCCGTCCGCACGATTACCAATCTACGCCATAAAAAAATCAAACTTCTCCAACAAGAATTTAATAATTACTTGTAAAGGTTCTCGTGGTTAATTTTTGGGCTTTCTCCTACAATGTTGGTGATAAAGTATCAGTTAATTCGCAAATTAATAGAATGAAATATAGTCAAGTCAAGTGTGTTGTAGGCCTAAGACACAGAATGTGATCCATTGTTCGACGGACTTAATAAACTACAGGTACACTATACGTGTGCGGGTAACAAACTGTTATAACAATGACTTTTAACAATGTTCGTATTATGGTGTTCATTGAAACATTATAATACAACTTAATGATTTTTTTGTTAAGAAAAAGTAGTCAATAGTAAAATCATTTTCCTCTAACTTTGTTAGATGGTTGATACAAATGACTAGAGTACCATAAGTCGACCATTTTTAAAAATAAATCTATATTTTAATCTGTAGGTAGCTATTTGTTAGATCGCCATAAAATTTATATGATTAAAAAAACTATACATAATATTAAAAAAACAGATACTTTATCACCAATATTGTAGGGGAAGGCTCAAAAATTAACCACGAGAAACAATTTTTATAACATCTGACAAATATATTCATTAGCTTTTAACCTGTTATACTAAAGTTCCCTTAGTCGCTAGTATGATGTATGGTCATTCCTACCGGACGACAGAACGATTCAACGCAACCCATTGTTGCGTAGTCTATATCAGACATCTCCACACATAATGAACCTCGCCGCACGAATAGTTAACAAGCTAGAAAATTCAGGTCAAAAGTGTCATCGGATAAAGAGATTCTCAATTTATTTCTCGTCTGACCTTGAAAGGTTTTGGTTGTTTTATGTGCTTACTATATGTATTTACTGCTATTGTCATTTGTTTTTTTGACGGTACACATTTATCTGTTTAGTAAGTGTAATAATAGTATGGGATTGTTACATTTCAAAAAAAAATAATTTGTAACTAAATATAATGATCATATTTTGCGAAAAGTTTCTTTCAAATTAATTTCAATTAATTTTGAATATTGTTGTTGATAGGTAAAAGAAAAACCTTCTTAGTTACTCTGGCAATCTCATTTTTACTTCAAAGCGTCTTTGCGCTTACAACTAATGTTAGCACCAAAAGCGTATTTGTCCAAAATTATTGATACACAAATTATGATTATTTATGATAATTTGATCTTGGCCTCTATGGTGTGGTAATAGCAAAAAAATCTCAGAGGCAAGATGTCTTTAAGATTCATAAATGACCTGATGTTGCAATGTTTTTTTTTTATGTTTGTTAGTATTTTGACATAGAATAACCTTGTTTGTACATATAATATATAATATGCAAACAGAATTGGGCGATAGACAATCCTATGAAATAAGATATATGGATATATTTAACTTTTTTAAAAAATATGAATTAAAGTATTTCTCCGTTAATCGTATTGGGAAATCGTCTACGTATGTACCTAATGTATTTCGCAAAAAATGAGTCGCGAAAAGCTTTGATCTTGCGATGAATTGTTTTTTTTTATGATGCTATTAGCATCTTTTAGCAAATCTATTAACATGTTAAGATATATTAAGAATATCTTTTTAAGTAATTTCTATTACTATCAAATAAGTGTATTTAAATCGTGACCTTGACATCATATCGGATGAACTACAGACTGCTTTTAGTTACTGAAAGTGAAACCTGCGTGTGCGCATCTAAAACAGGTCTGTCTGATTGCAAAGGTCGAGTTAGTAAGTTTGACCTACGTACGAGCTTTCTTTGCTAATTTAGGCTATGTAAGGGACAGAGACATAACTATTTACAACTCACAACTGGTGGAATACAATGTTTTCTTAAATTTATTTGGATTTTTTTTTTCTTGAAATTAGTGATAGGTGGTAAGTGAGCGTTATTGTTAAATCTTTAAGTTAATGTAAGATTTTTTTTTATTGTATTATGGTATTTTTTAGAGCTTAAAAACAAAATATTATAATATGCAATAAATAATTATGTTCATAATGTCGATTTATTAAAGCGAAATAATAAAATTCAGAAAAACAACACTTTTTTTGTTATTAAGTTTATAAAGATGTATTCGTATAAAAATTTATTATCAGTAATAGAATTCGCCTTAATCAATACTAAAGACAGTTAAATTCTAAACAGTGTAAGTTTTTACAGCATACTATGATACTACATAAGTAGATAAGTAAAGTATGTCAGTCTGTTCGTTCCCATGTACAATCTGGATGGCTCAATACATTTTGATAAACGTATTGTCAAAAGATCTTTCAGTCCCACGAGAAAATACTAATTATATCTAAACAAAATGTTTTTTTTTCTCAGATAGCATCAAAAATGAAATTTGGTCAAGACTCAAATCCGATCTCAAAAACAGATTGGAATAATTCTGAGAAAAATGATGAAGTGAATAAAAAAATGACAAATGTAATTTAAGTTAAGTTGCGAGTATTATCTATATATCTCTGATACTGTAATGAGGCATGGTTTATTATTACGGTCAAATTATCACAATAATGTAAGTAACTAAGAAATATTAATGGAACAAAAATATGATTATATTAATAATGCTAACGAAAACTCTACCTTAAGACACACAATATTAATCTAAAACAATAAATAAACATTATATGGTTAAAATCAAAACCGTTTGGGTTGATTTTCCATTAAAATCAATTAGGGCTTTGACATTTAAGTTCAACTCTAAGGAGCATCACTGACCTCGTACATTTTACTTAAACCTATCGTAATTTGAAGGAGTACTCGCGATGCGTTGGGTTCGTAATAAATTGCACAGTAATGACATATATATGTACATAGGTATAAACATATGTACAAAATCAAATCCTAATAATGCTAATGCTATTTTGATGTTTAGTAGTAAATATTTTAATAGTTATTTAGCAATTGGCTCTTAGTCTGTATCGTATGCTCGTTATTATTCATCATGGCCCATCTGATACGCAGCTAAAGGTCGGATACACACGATTGGTGCATTTGTTCACGTGCATGAATCAAGTAAATCGATTTTAAGATTTAAGTACTTTTATAAAAAAAAAATTATTCGAATTTTAAATGAATTGTTTTTTTTATTAAGTCTAAAAATAAATATAAGTTATATTCATATCTATATATATTTATGAAAATAAATATAAAAAATTAATGACATATAGACTTTTGCAATGTCAATTGTAGTATAATAGTTTATTATGTTGTGTAATCTAAAAGAAAATCCGTGACGATTTTCTTCACGCAAATATAATAAGTGTAGATTTAACCTAGTTACACAGGTCACCGGTAATAATGCACGCGATAAAGTTCTGTTAATGTCGATTTAACGGTTCCAAGTACTTTTTTGTTCCAAGTAATTTAATGACTTCGTTATATATGATTCTAATCAAATGTATCTAAAAATATTATTTATTGTTTTTAAAGCATATATAAGCATGGTTCTTGCATGACATTTCCTTCAAATAAAGCTAGTTCCGATCACAATTACCGATGATTGTCCGCGGTACGTTCAAACGTACATAATATGTCAAATGTGACGACTGCGCGTTGATGTCTTTTTAACGCGTGAAAATTTATTAAGAATATGTATTTGGGCTTTAACCAATTCCAGTTAAATATATATGACTTATTGTAATGGTAATATTAGATTTTTTTTATTTTATTATTAAAACCTAATATTATTTAACTACAGTTTTGTTTGAGATAATCTATAAAAAATAAATGTGTCACAAAAAATATTATATCAAATAAATCATTTCAAATTAAAGAACTCACCTTGCACACAAGAAAATACACGACACTACGTCACACACACAAAATAAAAATTCAAATATAGTAATGTCCGTTACTCGCGCTAGCTGGGGTCAGAGTGCGCATGCGTGTATCCGCGGTGTCATCCCGCGACTCGCGCGCTCGCGCAGTGAAAGTGCTTATATAGCCTTTTAGTTGCAAGCGTGCAGGCCGTGACGTCACACCTAGCCTGCAATGGATTTATGGGCGGCTCAAACAATGAGATGAACTTTGGGTGAAGAGGGCTTCGAAGCTTTTTTTAATTACATTATAAAAGCTTCAGTATGGCAATGACACGGTTATGTAAATTATTCTTTTTTTTTGTTGTTTCTGTGAAAATATGGATGAGTCGTAGTCGGTTATTGTAAAAGTGTCTTTGTGAGACGTTTTTATTAATGACAAGCGCTATTATTTTTCCTTGTTTAAATTTTTATTTTATGACTTTTCATTGTTTTAAAAACATACGATTTTGTCAAATCACAGTAATACATGTTTTTTTTATTATTTATCCTTATATTACATGTACATAATTTATAAATAATAATGAATCAAAAATATTTATACATATTATTGTGAGTTAGCTGAAAACTCGGGCGATCAATTGAGAATAACAAAAAGATTTTCTGCGGGTAAAAACAATTTTCAGAGTGAGAGAGAAGTCTTAATGAATGAAAAAGGTTGAATGTGATATTTAACAATGTGTAAGATCACGCTAAAACACTATTTATCATTAATGTTATAAAAATAATCGTTTAAAAAAACAATTAAATGAAAATATTGAGATTTTTCGCAGTGATTAGATAAGAAGAGCTGAACATCGAGCTCAGTGGCGTGCAATTGGGAAGGCCTGTGTCCAGTAGCAGACGAAATCAGGTTGATGATGTTGATGATAGAGTTTTGAAATTCCATGGAAAATAAATAATACCTATCATCAGTCAGTCCACGGCTGATCATCTCAACAAAACAGTTTTTGCCGTAATTCCCACGCTTAACAGGCGTATTGTAGTTAAAAAGATTCAGGTTGAAATATGCTGCTGCCCTCACATACTGTATCTCAAATCGGTCATCCTACAAAACACATTACCTAATTACCAACATAACGACTTAAGTCACTATTCATATAACACCTTTTTTGTTTTTTCACGGATTGACTTTGCACCCTATTTCAGTGACAGGCCTGAAAGCCCAATCATAAACTGCTTTCGTATCTTTAAGTTTATGGTATTAGAAAGTTAAGATAGTTACGGTAATCAGGAAAGGGACGCCAAATAGGAGAATGAACGAAATATGTACCCTTAGGCGGCTCTTGCAATTAATGAGTCACCGCGGCCCAGAGCAGGTGAAGGAACGGAGGGTTTAGTCAGCAAGAGTCTGTCTAACACTCTCTCTCGCCTTACACTGGACGGGAGAAGTCATTTCGATTTTTACCTGACAAAAAAAAAGCCGGCTCTTGCAATTGTCACAAGAAGAGTACATTAGGTTGTAACGGATGGATCGTATTCTCTTGATACCACACAGCTGGGACTATTGTATCGTGTACCTATATATATCTATATGTACAACTACAACCTGAGTTGCGGCTCCAACCTAGTTGGAAGATAGCCAGAAGAAAGAAACAGTACATACATATATATACAAACGTACTACGTACTCTTTTTACTTTGCATACTATTGCAAATAAACATGAATGAATAAAACGCACACTGTCAACATTTAATGAATTTTCCCGCTTTCGGAAGGGCAAGTGGTAGTGTTAGTCTTTTACTGACTAATAAGCACTCCGTTCCTTCTTCTGATTCAAGCTGAACCGTAGTAACTGTTGTATCTGTTGTATCATCTCTAATTAGTCATACTAATCATTGTCACACTAGAACTGTCAATGTCAATGTCATCCCTTTTACTATAAGTAAGGTGGCCTAGAGAGTGTCGGCCATTGACAATGTAACTCTGGTGTAGTGAGCTGCTCGACTGATATTAAAGTGAAGTATCCAAGATCCAAGTCTTTTAATCATATTACAGTAATTTACCACATGGTGCTGCAAAAAACAAATCGAAGTTAATTAAACGCGTTCCAATCTATAAAAAATCTCGCACTAGGCGCTCAGCTCAAGTGCGTTTCACAAGCCCATATTACACATGTATTGATGATTAATCGTTGTATTGTGCTACCGGCACAGAAGTTGTATAATATTTTCGTGAATGCAATCATCAATGACAGAAAGAGCGAAGTTCGTGTGGTCATTGGACGTGTTTAGTGTCACGATGATAAGGTCAAATCATTAATGATTTGCTCATGTTATTGTAATAGACGTTTAATGACTTCGTGGCTTTATGTTTTGAGTTATTGTGGATTTTATTTATGACATTTTATTAGTAGACGTATTTCTGCTCGTTTTAGAACTTATGCCTTTTTAGAGGACGAAATATTATCAATTAACTTCCCTAGCCCAGGATAAGGTGAGAGGGAGTGTCAGACGCTTAATGACCAAAAACCTCCCCCCCTTTTCTTGTCCTACTCTACAATACAGCTCTACTACTCTAATACTCTACTATCTTATAGCTTCTTGCCCCACAACTTCGGCTAAAAGGGTCCTGTTGGGTCCCATCTGTAATGGTTGATTGGCTCTCTTTTTTATTTAATTTGGAGATTATATAATATATAAAAATATTTTATTAGGATATATACTTTTAGTAATGGCAAAGCTTACCACAACCTAGCGAAATCGCTCAAACAAAACAGTACATACAAATGAGCTGGACTGTATAGGATTTATCCTTGTATTAAATTTGCTCAAAAACGGTTTTCACAAAAATTGTCTTCAAGATTCCTTGCTTGGCAGTAGAACTGGCAGCCATTCGTCCAACCGAGAAATGTTGCAGTGCAAAAGGTCAAAGTATTAATGATTTGCTCATATCTTTGTAATAACAGTTTTAATGACTATGTGTTTCGTATAGTTTAATGTACAATGGTTTTAATATTTGTAAACTGAAAGGTAAAATTATACAAAACATAAAACCTATGGTTACCTGCCTATGAAGATATAAACGACCTTTCTAAATTCAAAATTATTGTGTAAATATTTTTTATTTCCTAACTAAAGTCTAAAAGTCTCTAAGTACGGCACTTAGAGACTTTATGATTACTTAAACTATTCCTTAGTGACGCGTTTCTTCCGAAAACAATTTATGAGATCTAGATTATGTTACTATAAAATTACTTTGAGTACAACAATTGATTAATTGATAATTGTCATACAAAATTTGGCAGTCAAGAATAAAGTTTCCTATATTAAATCCTTCTGTCTCCTTACTTTCTTCAGACACAGAAATTATAACATTAAAATGCTCTATTGAAGAATTTTTAAGTACAGAGACGAAAAAACCAGCGGAAAATTTTAAGGAAAAGGGCGGTAAACGAGCTGACAGATCGACTGGTAGTATAGTAAGCAATAATCGCCCATGGACAGCTTCAATATCAAAGTAATTACGAGTCTGTTGCCGGCCTTTTAGGAGCTAGGGTTATGAAGGTTAGGAGAGGGGAATTGACGCTTCTGGTTAAGTTTGTTCACACGGAGAAACACAAAGCAACCGTTTTTTCACGCTGGATTCTGTGAGACTGTTGTATCCCTCCGGACGAGCCAGGCCAGTCGTGTCAATGCACTCAGTCAGACCCCGAGCAGCGAATGAGGTCTCGGCTCGGAGAAAGAGAAGAAATGGGGTGTTTTTGTGTGACTGAAGACTCAATCAGCCCACTTAGGTCGGGAGAACACATTTCATGATTTTCTTTCAAAAAAAGTCTGACCAGTGCAAGGCCCTGCCGCTCTTATAAAACAAGCTCAGCATTAGTAGGTACATAACTAAGGAGATTTTTTAACATTTAATTTAATACATTATTATATATAATGTCTTCCGTATTTAAAACGACAGCGGAAAAATACATTAAGAATATTTATAAAACATTTAAATAGAACAATTTATCAAAATGTAAACGGCAGTCTTGATTTTTCACGGCGTTAAAAACCTTCTGCGGTTTACCTCAGTTCTGACCAAATTTTAATGTTTTGATGCACCACGACGTATTGACCTTGAAATGTAATAAAATATCTGTCTATTAATGTATGTTATATTTTATCTATAAATAATTTTAATTTTGATATCGTAACTAAAAATAAATGTATATGCATAAAACGTCGTGAGATAAAATTATTTGGTTTTCAGCGGTGGCTTAATTGGTAATATGCTGAAATTAGCGTGTTATTTCCTTAAGTATCGTGATGATCTAAAGGTTAACAGTCTACTGTTTGTGGAAACCAAAATGACGTTTTCCGAGTTATACATAGGTACATCTGTAATACGTAGGAACGTTCTAGGAGTTCTTTTTTCTTAAAGTTGCTTGCTACATCTATGAGTTTTCCATTCGAATCTACAATTTGGAGCACCTAGCTTTACTGATGAACAAATTGACTAATATTTTATTTTGATGTTTTAAAAGTACCTGCTAATGCTTAAGTAAAAAATTACTACTATTGTTATGCCCGACAGGGCCCACAATGCTCCTAAACTAATATAAGTATGTAAATCCTTATGTACCCTACCACCTAAGTTCACATTGTGGAATGCAATAAATATATTGAGTATTGAGTATTGAAAAAAAAGTTGGAATAAATAATTTTGACTTTGACTCTAAGATTATCTGCATACGTAAGATTTTAAAATATTGTAAGGAAGCCTGGACTAACATTTCTAATTATCAGTTTCATGTCGAGTCAAAACCTCGAGCAATCGTGATGATTATTGCTTATTCTTTTTCCGTGAGAGAAGAGGCCTTTGCTCAACAGTGGGCACTTAATGGCTGATGATGACTTAGGTAACCTCTATCTAACCTTTCGGGGACTAATAAAATATCAGATTTGTTCATAACTACGTATTCAAAAATTAAAGTAGACATATATAAATAGAACACTTCTTCCCCAACATGACGGTACTTAAAACCTCATTTTTTAATAAAATTGGGAAACATTTTTTTTGCAAAAACATTATCATAATAGGAATGTACTACAAACCTTTAATATTTGGTAACTACAAATTACGCATTTATTTCTACAACAATTTAATTG